CTTTCGTGTATTTTACGTAATCATGTAATCATCTCCATGTATAAATCAAGTTTCAATGGAAGAAATACACAAGAGAAATATACGCTACTAGGTAATGTCGCGTTTAAAAAGTTTTTTCCCTCGTCTTTTAATTTAAAATATTAATATATAGCTAGGCTTTAAAGGGGAATCATTTATGTAAAAGGAAGACATAAGAGTATACTATTGGAAACATTTTGAGACAAAGCACAATATTGTTGCAATCTTACAGAAAGGCTGCAAACCAGCCCTGTCGACCATCATTCCCTGAACCTTGCTTCAAGCTGGAGTTAAAACCTTCGAGTAAACATTGTTTTGCAAGCTTGCAGCAAGTTGGATATTCGTTGCATATTTTGCAAGTTTGCAATACAAGCATATGAATTTCCTAATTACCGATCTCTCAACAAAATTTAAGCTAGATTGCATTGTAATGCAAGCCAGTGGTAAACACTGTAATCTTCAGGATGCTGACCAGGAGAGAACGTAGGATTTATGTTAAAAATATATTCTACAATGCAATATGTATATCCTAGATGTAAAATTAACAGCGATGGAGTTAAAGCAACATGCAAAATTGTCTCATATGATTCTAAAATCCTGGTTGTTGGGTAAGTAACTTCATTGTTTTCGACGTCACTCGTCTTTAGCTATTGCATTCTTATTTCCTTTGTCCACTTTCTCTTCTCATCCGCAATATATTGACCCATTTGCATAGTTTTTACAGAAGATATGAATACACAAATATATTATACTTTCGAAATAAGCTACATCGAGCATGAAAGGACATTCGCGAAGGTTGCGAGGATTGGTTCAAAGGTAATGGTCATACCATCGATTTTTTATTTGTTTTAAGATTTCCGGGAAGTCCGGGTAGCGCTAGCGTCTGCCAGAATGATCTACACTCGATACAATCTCGTTGGCTTAATAGGCGACTGCTGAGCAGCTGAGCTTGCAAAAATTGAGTCAATAGTACTCTTTAGTATGGTCCAACTTTGGAAAATACGGGATAAGCGACGGCAAATGCCGTCTGTTCCTGGGCGCCTAGAGGGTTCCTTGCCGGTAAGCCAGGCTCAGGCTCACCAGTATCAGTAATACTACGGCTGATTATTTTGAGAATATGAAGACAATGGAAAGAAAGACGCAGGCTGCAAGACAAACACAAATTCAAATGTTCGCTCGTCGGTTAATAGTTACTAGACTGGAGCCATTGGCAAAGACCTATGATTCATAGGTGGATGAAAGAAAATAATAAAATTATAATTTACTAGTTATTCAGCTGTCCCGCATCCTGCATCTTTTAATTTCAAGTGAGTATGATGAATCTCAAATTTGTGTTTCGAAACATTCCTGCTTATTCAGTGCAGATTTTTTCATTGAATGCAGAAGTTGATTCCAACTTGCGTGGGATGGGATCAAGTTCAGAGACGTACGGTTCCAGTGTAGGTTCAGCCAAATAAAACAAAAATAATTGTGTCGTGATTGTTGTCTAAACAAAAACGGCTCGTAAAAATGTTCCACTTTTGGAATAACTCCTTCATTTGAATGTAACGAGCTGATCTAACCGTCGCGTCGGTCGACCGCCAAAAATGTAGGTCACAGCCATTAGAAACTAACAATATGCAACGAGATTACGTTACGCGGAAAAATTAAGAGCCAGGAAATGCGCAATAACTATGCGCGGGAAGGATGACCTTCTTATTGCGCCCTCGAATTTTCCTCTCTATGTTTTATAGCCAGTCGCGTTTCTTACATTGCTGAAAGTAAATCTATAATAGGTAAGTAACCATGCGCTCTTTTTTTGTAATTAGTTTGTTGCGTACACACAAATACACGAAGCCGACTGAAAAGACTAAATAGCGAAGATAAGATTTTCAGCAAAATATAATTTAAGACCCGTGATAGCGGGGACTAGAGCCTCCCTTCAAAAAATGCAAGTTGTCTAAATTCACGTAAAAGTTTGGAATAAAGATGTTTACATGGGTAATTGACCCCAAAAAATCCGTGTTTAAGGTCCCGTTGTTCTCTGATGCCTCTCAGATGAGGCAAAAGGAAATTCTGAACTCGTAAATTTATAACCAATAAGGGATGCCTCCTGCGCCTTATGTGAGAAGCTCTCTGAGGTGACAGGCCTCTAAAATTGTATTCTTTGGGGTCGGTTGTCCACGTAAACATCTTACCCCCAGCATCTACGTTTTAGCGAACTTTCATTTTTTGAAGGATGGCTCTGTCTCTCACATAGGAGATAGTATATTGGACGCAGATGGGCCGATTTTGAATTTTTTGGTGTCAATTTTATTGTACGATAATATTTACAATGTGTTTATGATCATTTTCATCTGTGCTGAAGAAGGAAGTCTGGATTTCGTAACGATTCCAGAGATAAATTAAGTAATTTGCTCACCTTTCCCTTATTTCTACCCACAGAAACACTGCTTGGTGAGAGGAAGGTTTATCTCAACAAAAGTTACCATCCACATTCACCAGCCCAGCAGCTGATCCAGCTCATTCTATCAGCATGAAGTCCTCGAGTGCTGTTTACGTACTTTTCGTTGCTGCGGCCAGCTTACTCCATTTTTGTTCCGCCGCGCCCATCTATCAGCAAATAGCACAGCAAGGGATGGCCATGGCTGGCCAAGGCATGGGTATAGGCATGAACTACGCTGGAATACCTATGGGGGGCTAAAGAGACACCCACATACATGTACGATGTCTAGAAGTTTTGAATGAAAGCACTTCGATAAAACGAAAAAGGAAATGTGTAAATGGGGATGATGTATGATCCAGAATTTGCCATGTAAATAACTGCACCGGCCGTAAATATTAGCGAAAACCCCGCTTCATCGCACTGGAAAAAAACACATTGGATCTAGAGTCCAGACTCTTGAAAACATTGACAAGAAAAAATACTCTTGATTCAATCGGATTTTTGCTTGAATCAAAACGAAGTCCGCTTAAATTAAAAGGCTTGTTTCTTAATTTAAGCTAGATTCTGATTGAATCAAGAGTACTTTTTCTTGTCGATGTTTTTAAGAGACTGGACTCTAGATCCAATGTGTTTTTGAGTCTGGACTCTAGATCCAATGTGTTTTTTTTCCAGTGCGCTTGAAAAAGCAACCATTTTTCCTTCTTTTCCTTACCGAAATAAGAATCTTAAACTGTAGTAATATGATAACCCTTCTGTTCGGCCTAAAGCTGATACAAAGGCCGTCCTCTCATCGGACGGCTTTTGGTTTTAACCTTGTATAATAACCATATATCCAATGTAATTAGGCCGTCTCACGTTTCTCATCACAAATAAACTATTTAATATTTATTTATTTATTCATTCGTTCTTTTATCCTTGTTTTTATAAGAAAAAAACCCGCAAAAATATTTTTTGTTCAAACGGCAATGATATCGCGGGTCCTCAGCTACATAACCAGTTGTTAAAATTAATGAATAGACGTGAATGAGAAGACACACGGCAGTCGATTCTTCATCTGCGAGTGGATTGTTGAATCGTTATCGAATGACCTTGATCGATAACTCCCTATCTTGACAATGCTATATATCGATCAAGGTCATTCGATAACGATTCAACAATTGAGCCGGAGAGATCACGAAATCTCTCGGTACGATATTTTCACGTTTGAAATGAGGTCGGACTTCTTGGAGATTTGGCGAGACAACAGAAAAGCGCTAATGTAATCGTTTATTATAAATATTTTTCGAAAACGCATTTTTTTTTTTTTTTTTTTTTTAAAAAAAAAAGCGTGCAACATCTCCATTATGCAATATTTATAATTCTTTCTTTCGTGTTAATTTATTTTAACCTACTTTGTTATACCGTTATGGGTAAGCCTCTTCATCTACCAATATACTTATTAATTATTTAATTTAAAACAGTATTTTTACTTTAAGCTTCTGTTTTTTCTCCTCTTAACTTGACGACGTCGCGACTGCGTTTCAGAACTGAAAATCCTGCCTTTCTCTTTGTTGATCGCTCCCCGTCATATTTCAAAAAATTAAACGGATGCAGGGGCGGATTGAGGGGGTGGCCAAATGGGCCGCGGCCCATGACGGCAAAATGTAGAAGGCGGCAAATTTTGCAATCTTTTTGAATGTAGGTATCAAAAAGAGGGAGAAAAAAATCGGATCCAGAAAATAAATTACAAACGAAAAAAGACGACAAAATCTCTCATTTCCTCAGAGTAAAAATATAGTAATTTCTAATTTTGTCGTCTCTCGGTGATACAAGAGACAACACCTTCAATTAATCGAGGTAAGAGAGAAACGAAACACGCAATTTGGCCTGGAACGGAGCTGCGCGGCGGTCAGCATGAAACGCATAGCGCCTACAAGACTGCATGAATACTTCACGCATTGCGTCAAACACACTGTGGTCAGCAGCAGTCGGCTGGAAACGCATAGCGCCTGCAAGACTGCATGAATACTTCACGCATTGCGTCAAACAGTGCGTGGTCAGCAGCGGTCGGCGTGAAACGCATAGCGCCTACAAGACTGCATGAATACTTCGCGCATTGCGCCAACACCGTGCGTTAGGCGCGGCGGTGGAAGTTAAAATTTTTAACCACATTTATGTTTGTTCTTTCATATTTTTTTCGTTCGTTTTTTATAAATGGAAGGCTTTGTCCAAACAGGGATGGGTTTACGGAACTGAACTTTTGTTAGTGTTGACAGGGCTTTCACAAAAAATATACCCAACACGAGTAAACGCGTCTCACACACCCCTCTCCCACCGGCAGGTTCACTTGATGGGCTTGGCTAGAACGACTCCTCTCACGAAATTGTCACCTGTGCCGCAGTATCGTTCTTGAGGCGGGAAGTTTAAAAGCGCATATTTCTCACGCAGATTGTGAGGTCAGAGGTGTGTATTTTAGAGGTTCTCGATCGCTCATCATGATTTTTGAGCCATTTTCAATAAAAATTAACTCATCTCTTTGCACAAGCTGAAAATTACAACAGGCCAATTAAAAACTCTCAAATTATTTTATGAATGAATAAAACGATAAAAATGTTTGTTCTCTCGGACGGTAAATTTCATTAAATACAGTTAGGTCATTTTAAAAAGGTTTAATTGATAATGTATAATGATTTTCTGAGGTAGCCAAAAGACGAGCAGAAATTTACACAACTTTAAACACACATTCGTGTTTTCACCGATGTACCCAGAAACGAATACTAAGGATTTTTTACGCGAGTCGAAGGATTTTTGTCAACATATTTTTCTTAGATTCGTTGTTAAAGCCCTAAGAGCCTTATAAAAAGTCAATACTACAGTCCAAATAGATATAGGTGAGATCCAGGTATCTTAAAAACTTGTATCAAATGCGTTAAAGATATCCACTCCAGAGAAAATAGGTAAAATGCATGCATGACAAACGCAAGATAGGTGCTTGATTCATGAAACTGATGCACGGAAACCTAGTTTGAGATGGTACTGGCCGAGTTTAGGCAAGAGAAAAACAACAATTGATCATTTTCGTGTTTTTTGCCCTAATTCAAGATTTATTGAAGGAGAAATGATCATATCATTGCTTTTAATATTGTATGCGCAGCGAATTACAAAGTTCTGTTATTTACAAATAACTTTGGATGGTTTATTCTTATTTACGACGCATTATCAAAGCTTTAATCTAAAACGTCTCGTTCGACTAGTATTACTTCATATCATCTATTCATTAGCTATAAGAGTACATCTTAGTTTTTTTGACATGGTGAGTTAAGATTAGAATATATTTTTAAAATTCTATTGTATTTATCAACATTTAATCACTCCCATTTAAGATAATCGTGGACTTAAACATCTCCTCTGCACCTAGGGCCAACAGCTGTGGAGACTGGTCATTTCATGGCAACGCCTAAAGGTAAACCTTTCCCCTTGAAGGTGATACAGGAACGCCAGCAGAAAATCATTATGACGGTTGAAGTGAAATTTTCTGGTCCAGAAAAATATTATGCAGGTAGACGGAAATGCAGCTGGGCACGTCATCTGAAAGATTTAGAACGGAGAAAAATCAAAATCAAAATCACCAAGATAAAGTAGCAGAAGTTGTTAAACTGAAATATTTTTTTAATTGTGCAGAGGAACTATGCTCATCCGCAAAAATTCTTATTTCGATAAGCTTTAAACTATACATTCATGGAATGTCCATGTAAGATGGAAGAACGAACGGAGAAACGGATGACGAAGGAAAAAATATTATCAAATTGGTGAATGATATACAAAATATTGAAACTACTTTTAATTATGACAACCGTCTTTTATCCTCTGTTTTGAACTTTTATACTCCTCTGTGCATTTTGTTCTCTCTCCCCCTCTCATGGGGGGGGGATTATATTATAACAGGGGAAGAACATTGATCCATGACACGCATTCCATGAATGTATCCCCTTGGCCGCCCCATCCTCCCCCTCCCCCCAAATAAATTAAATGAATAATTTCAGAGGTAAATAATAGCAAAATTATGTGTAAAAATTAATTGACTTGCGCTTGTAAAAATCGCACTCTCAGTTTCAGGTATGCAAACAAGGAGCACTGATATATTTACTGAAAATTATGAAAGACCCTCCCTGCTACCCCTCTCTCCCTGATGTATAGATCTCCCTAATAAACCGGAGGGATGAAATCACTGAGGGTGAAAATAAAAATTAAAATAAGCGAGGAAAAAAACAGGTTATTGCAAATAAGGTTTATCGAACTAGAAGACATGTCAACTAAGAATAATTGGTAGATAATAAACTTTACAAAAGATGAAGACAACCTGGAGACTAATTTACCTGACGTTCTGAATTCTGTGATCGGAGTGCTCGTATGATACCGGATATGTAAGGCTTAGGTTAAGCTCTCGAAGTATTGGATGGTAGTAATTCTACACAACAAAGAAGTTACACCACTAAAAATTACGATTGAAGATTTATAAAATAGAGAAATCTAGATTAGGAAAATATTTGGTAAGTAAAAAGCGGGTTAAGAAATATATAGCAATTAGGAACACGATTGAGAAAATGAAACAGCACATTTTTTTTTTGTGAAAAATAACTAGGTCTCGCGTATAAATCTACAAAAATCCTTGTTGGCAATTTTTGTCTATAGGTGTAGGGAAGGTCATTATGCTTATCTAATAAACTCAATACATTATCGTTACTATGGAAATGAAATTTGGAGGTTAAATGTAACTCAACCTTGGAGTACCAATCAACGCGTCAATGCTAATGAAGTCGATTGTTTTTAGTGAACTCTCAACGTAGATTATTGGTGGTGAAGGTATAGGTGAGTCCATCCATCGATGACTTTCAGCGTCCATCATGTTTTACAAAGGTTGATGAGAGTATACACAGAGAAAGTACGATTTTGTGTATGCCACTTTAAACAGGTGTTAACGGTGCTCTTACGCGGCTTTATGCAAAAAACAATATGACAACTTAAATTTACACACCCTTTTAATTCAGCTAGAAAGATTTCAATGAACAAATAAGTAAATTTTTATTATGAAAAAGGGAGAGAGAGAAAAAATACTAATTCTGGTCTATTGTAACAAGGCAATTCAAAAGAATCAATTTGCTTCAATTTGCAAGCTTCAATTTGTATCGATCCAAAAAAAGGTTTATTTTTTCGTAAGGGAGGGTTGGCATGACCTTTCATAAATCTCTCAACCAGTACTGCCGTGTTAAGGAAGAACGCCGTATGAACATTCGAGAGTTGCCAAATTTTCTTCGATAAAATGTTTATTTACGCGGAAGGTTATGAATATTTTTCCTTGAAATTTTCAGGAATTTCAGGTAAAATTGCGAACAAAATTATCCAAAAAATTAGAAGGAAAATATTCATGAGTTTACCAGGAAATTCGTGTTCATTCCATTCCTCCTCATTTTTCGTGCCTAAGAGCATTGTCAAATTCATATTTGTGCCATTTTTTCATCCAAAACTCGGGTTATTCGAACCCAAGTTCTGCTAAGAACGTGGCAAATGGTAGAAACTCTTATCGGAATCCAGTTAAAAGTGCTGCAGAGAATAATTGCAGAGCCTGGGCTCCTGGCAAATCTGTGCGCTTACCAAAACCGGAAATATTCTTAGATCATTATTTTTGATCACGTGAGAGCTTAGTAGCGACGCTTCGTTAGTATGAGCTCAATAACAGAAAATGATAGGAAAATGAAATACAAAATAATAATATGAAGTAGAAGGGGGAAAACCTACGGAAAACTTACGCATATGAGAACGATAATGGACCCATCAGCGACCGTCTGACGATTGACGGAAGTAAATAATGAACACAGATCAGATACTGTCAATCGTAAAAGCGTACAACATAATCGCCGTTGTTGGACGGGTGCTAGATGAAACGAATGATTGGAGTTACCTCCTACCTCCTCTATTTAGAAAATAATCATATTTGTCTTTCGCTGAATATTCTTCGTCGAAGCTTCTTTGTACTACATCCATCATATACTCTGTTTGAATTAATATATTTTCAGGTGTTCAAAAAATAATATGTTACCTTTCCAATGAGTTTACTGCTCTCTTTATTTCTCCTTTTTATCAATTGGTCTGTATCAAACCACAAACACAAATTTTAATATCTATGATTTTTCAAAAAATATCTCTGAATTATTCCTTGCTCCTCCTCTGCAACGTACTGAATGTGAAACAACTTGTTTGAGTAGGCAGACATTCATATTTCGATGAAACAGTAAAGGACCCTACAACAAAACGGCCAAATCGGCCTAAACACGGAATCGTACGATTTTCTCAGGGATGATAGAGGGTCTTCTCAGACACTCAAAACTGGTCATATTTTTTGCGTAACCCCCAGGGAAAAGGGGGGAGAGGGGGTCAAAGTCAAAACCTTTAAATTAGCATAACTTCTCAACGGTTTGTCGTAGAAAGATGATCTTGGTGTCAAAATTTCCAGAAAAATGAGAGCTTTCAGAATATATGTATGAAATTGATTAAATTTTAAAATTTGACCCACTTTTGGGGCATTTTACAAGGTCCCCCTTTCGTAAATTTTCGTTTTTTGAGATTTTCGGTTGTTCGGTTCGCAC